CCGCGGGGCAGCGAGCCCGCCGGGCTCCGAGGGGCAGGCTGGCCTTTCAACTTGCTGGGCAGCTCGCCTGCCGCCCTCCCTCCGTCTCTCAGAGCCCGCCTCGCGGTCCAGCGAGGTGACGGGTGTCGACCGAGCCGTTTTCGGTTAAGAGGGGGGAGGGGGAGAAGCCAAGCCGCCCAACAAACGAAAACAATCCCGCGTCGCCGTTAAACTGGCTCCGAACTCGGGGTCGTGCGGGTTCTCTCTCCCCAGATTTGAGTAAGTCGTCCCCAACGCCGAATGGGCTTCCATCTGCAGACCCCGCCAGCGAGGCCATGGACCCCTTCCACGCTTGCAGTATTCTCAAGCAACTCAAAACAATGTACGACGAGGGGCAGTTGACAGACATTGTGGTGGAAGTGGATCACGGGAAAACCTTTTCTTGTCATCGAAACGTGCTTGCTGCCATCAGCCCCTACTTCAGGTAGGATGATGAGGATAGAAACCGGTCCTGATCTTCGCACCGATCTCTCGCCCCCCACGCAGTATTCCCCATTTGATTATGAGACGATAGCCGTTCTGTTTCCTGATTCCCACCGTTTCAACCCAGCCCTTGTGTTTTGACTTAAAAGAATTTCTCCGTCATTTAAGCGCATGGTCTTTAAGTGAGTCCACGCTTGTAGATCGGTTTGTTTGCTTGTCGATCGGTTTGGTTTAAGTAAATGACCCGATAAATCAGCAATTGTGCCGCCCATTGTGGCAGCCACTAGCCACATGTGACTATTTGAATTTAAATGGCCGAAAATTAAAAATGCAGTTCTTGAGGTCCACTAGCCACAGTGCAAGTGCTCAGCAACTACATGTAGCTAGTGGCTGCCATATTGGACAGGGCAGACATTTCCACCATTGAAGAAAGCTTTATTTGGAGAATTTTGATCAGGAATTCTAAAAGGTTCAGGAGATGTCCTCCTAGTGCATGCACCCTTTAAACATTCTCAGTATGTAAGTCTGTTCCTTTAAAACCGAATTGCCAAGCAAGAGATTGTTTTGAATGTAATTGTGGTAAAAGCAATGAAATAAAGACGAGTGAAATATCACTTCTATGTACCAAAGTCCCTGATTAGTGATTATTTCCAAGATTTTCAGAAGTATTTTTAGCTAAGTTGTTATTTTCATTTATGCTGCTATTTGCAAATCATCAAACTTTAGAAAGTGAACATTTAAAACTTGGGGCTGAAAAATGTCAGGCTCTTAGAGGCAGTTTTCTGCCCGAGGTTAACGTCTTCTGTTTCAAGTGCTCATGTTTTTAATTTTTAAGCCTTTTCATACTGAAAAGGAAAGGCCACATGAAGGAGAGGAAAGCTGTTTTCCTGACAACGCTAACTGCTTTTCCCCTTCCTTTTGAGGGTCTTACCTCTGCAGGGCACGTCGTAGTACAGTGCTCCAGACACGGGTTTCTTGTTCCTCTTTTTCAGAATACTGGTTTAAATATAGTCACTTCAGGCTGATGCTTGTGAAGTAACCACTAGATTTGCCTGGGGTGGGCCATTGGATGATTAAGTATTAACCATCACTGGGCAGGAGCTGGAAAGGAAGACACATGAAATGCACGTACATAGAAGGCACATTTGGACAGATAATGGAAACAACTGATGGTATTTCACTACTTCCTTTTATCCATTAGGTATGACTAGATCATTTATGTGTTTAAATACGTGTCACACTTGCTTTTCATGTTTTGCCCAATATAATCTTTATAAGCCTACCTCTGTCCAGTTGGGACCCTCTTTTTACACAGGGAACCCAGAGCACCTCTCAAAGTAGGAAGTGACAAAGGCAGGATTTGGTTCCAGGGCCAAGGTGCTTGGTTAGGGTAAGATGAAGGAACAAGATGGGGCAGAGTGTATCCTTTTTTTAAAGTTGCCTTTCCTTGTTTTTTAAAAATATATGTTAAATTTGAACAGTGGGGGGCAGGGAGAAGAAAGAAGAATTTAACGTGAAAATGGGATTTTATACTCTGAGTTATTTAAATGTCCAAATTAGTTTCAGTGACTTTGAAAATTACTTTAAAAGAAGCATGCCACCATGTAGATTTTATTTTAAATTTCCAAGAAGGTTAAGAACTGAGAAATGTTTCTGAGAATAAGATATGTGAATTCCAATGATGACATTTGACTAGAAATTTAGGATTAGGTTGTTAGGGTCTACTGGAGGTATTTCTATAAAATAAATGTCTTGGCACTGTACTGTTTTTTTTGTGGGACTTAGAAAGTCCTCACTTAATAATTTCAAAGTCTTGCATCACTGGTGTTTAAATTAGAATAGCTGGAAATTTCACTGGCTCTTTTGGGAGCCCAGTGCCTTGTTAGAATTAACATTTGTATGATTATTGTCAACTTGCTGCTGCCCAGAATTTTCTATGAGGAAGTGTTTTCCCTTTCTATAGAATTTACACATATAATCTATTAGGAGAAATATAAATCATCTATCTGAGAATGCATCAAGTGTTAGACTGCTCTTGCATGTGACCAGTCTATTCATGTCAGTAGTAGTTCCCAAGATAAAGGGATATGTGATAATATTCTCCCTTGGGAGTTAATCACTGCCTAATGAAGGGCTTTATTTTTCTTTTTAATTGGTAGCTGTGTAACTGAGCCTTTCAGCACCTGAACTAAATGCCAGCTCATATATAGGAACATGCAGGTTTTAGTAAGCAAAAAATCTGAGTTATTAAACTTGAGATTTACATCCTAGGGGTAAAACCAGGACTTGCCGATGGTTAATTTAGGCAGCAAGCTGAGGCCTTGGACCCTGTGAACCGTCAATATTTCTCATACTGCATTTTAAAATTAATTCCGTGTGCTTGATGGACACTTAAAAAGTGACTGGAAATCTTCCTATCTAGGGATATTGTTCTTTACCCTATCTACTTAATTCTGATTGATCATGTAACTGGACAAATAAAATGAGAGGGAACTAGATCTGAATAACCAACTTTATCAGTAATATGAGGTTAATATACTCCACAAACATTTGCGGAATGTCCTGGACCTTAAAAACAAAGATAATTACACAGCCCTTTCCACAAAAGGCTTAAAATTGCTTTTGATTTGATTTTTATATTTAATTTAAAAAGAAACATGTGAAACAATATTATAATATTTATTGCAATAAATACAATATTATAGTAAATATTGTCATTTATAATTATTAATATTATATAAAGAACTAGGCTTTTGACTGCTTTAATGTTTTGGCCCAGAGAATTTCATAAATGCATTAAAACTTTAATTAAAAAAAAATTTGGTCCCAACGGCATAATATTTTGATTTTAAAAACTATTAATTCCAAAGACTCAGATAGCTCCTACACTTATTCCAAAGGCATCATATTAACTCAACCATAATCTTTCTCTTGCTTTCAAATATATATAAAATTTGATAACTTTGGGGAAAGTTTATCTTTTTCAACAAAGGTTTTCAAAATGTGCAAGGCTGTTAGTTACTTACATTAGTTAGTTTCTAATGATTAAGGAACCATTCAAACGATAATTGCTTTAAAAAAGAGTAAGTAGAAATGCAGTTTTGAGACAATCTTGGTTTTCTCAGGTACAACTGTACAAAACTATATTTGGGGGACAGAATGACTAATAAATAGTCATGGGGCATAACATTTGTTAGTAGACAGTCTCTCTGTATCACATTGCTGTCCAATTAAAAGAAAAACAAACTAAGCTCACCGCCATCAAGGCGATGTTGACTGACGGCAGCCCTGGAGGACAGGGTAGAACCCTCTGTCCCTGTGGGCTTTCTGGTAGTAGGCCTGTAAATGCTATACCACCAGGGCATCTCTTGCCATCCAATAAGTATTCTTAAACCTTGTGACTGGTATGACAACGTAAGATTTTGCATCCCTAAGACAAATTGAGGAACCCTACTAGTGGTATAGCAGTTACATGTTAGACTATGATCTACACGGCCCGCAGTTCAAAACCACAGCCACGCTGTAGGAGAAAGAGGAGGCTCCTCAGTTCCTGAAAGAGTTACAGTTTCGGAAAGCCACCTGGGCAGTTCTCTTCTGTCCTGCACAGCCAGTGTGAGTTGTAATGGATGCCACAGCAGGGAGAGGACAATTTGATCAGAAGATTGGATAGGATGCCTAGGGAAAATAAGTGTATTGGAATATGTGCACAAAGGGAACTGGTGCTGCTTTTAAGATTTTTGAGATAAGCCAGACTAAATCTTTCCATGATCAGTTTTTATACTTCTTCAGAAGATCATGTCACATGTTAGGAAATTTCACTCAGTTTCAAAAGGTTTTCTATGTGGTAACTTCATACTTTTAAAATTTTGCCAGTCAATTGTATTTGTTGCACACAGAGACCACTAACGACTCTCTCCTCCTCAGATCCATGTTCACTAGCGGCCTTACCGAAAGTACTCAGAAAGAAGTTCGGATAGTTGGTGTTGAACCTGAATCGATGGGTTCAGTGTTGAACTATGCCTACACCTCCAGAGTTGTTCTGACCGAGGCCAATGTTCAAGCCTTGTTCACTGCAGCTAGTATCTTCCAGATTGCTTCCATCCAAGACCAGTGTGCTAAGTACATGATCAGTCATTTGGAGCCCCAAAACTGTATTGGCGTCTTCATCTTCGCTGATCATTATGGTCATCAAGAACTTGGAGATCGATCAAAGGATTACATCCGTAAGAAGTTTTTGTGTGTCACGGAGGAACAAGAGTTTCTTTATTTGACAAAAGACCAACTCATAAGCATCCTAGATAGTGATGACTTAAATGTAGACCGAGAGGAGCATGTGTATGAAAGTATTATAAGGTGGTTTGAATATGAACAGAATGAAAGAGAAGTGCACCTTCCCGAAATTTTTGCCAAATGCATACGGTTTCCTCTGATGGAAAATACCTTTAAAGAGAGCATTCCCCCTCAGTTTGCACAGGCAATCGCCCAAAGCTGTGTTGGCAATAAGGGGCCGTTCAAAACCAATGGCTGTACCCAGAGGCTTGGGATGACTGCTTCTGAAATGATCATCTGTTTTGATGCTGCCCACAAACACTCAGGGAAGAAGCAAACAGTGCCTTGTCTCGATATCGCCACAGGAAGAGTATTTAAACTATGCAAGCCACCAAATGACCTGAGAGAAGTTGGGATTCTTGTGTCCCCAGATAATGACATTTACATTGCAGGAGGGTACAGGCCCAGCAGCAGTGAGGTCTCCATTGACCACAAGGCAGAAAATGATTTCTGGATGTATGATCATGCTGCCAACCGATGGCTGCCCAAGCCACCCTTGCTCCGGGCCAGAATAGGCTGCAAGCTGGTGTATTGCAGTGGTAAAATGTATGCAATCGGAGGCCGTGTTTATGAAGGCGATGGACGAAACTCCCTGAAATCAGTGGAGTGCTACGACAGCAGAGAGAACTGTTGGAGGACCGTTTGCGCAATGCCTGTTGCAATGGAGTTTCACAATGCGGTGGAGTACAAAGAGAAGATCTATGTGTTACAGGGTAGGTGCCTGAGGGATTTCCTTCTCCGTGGAAGGGTGACGTGTCCACTGTGGCTTACTTTGTGATCCTCAAGCAGGTATTTCCTCCTGTTGAACGAGGACTCTTCCTTATTGCCTTAAAAACTTTGCTGGAACAGTTCTGTTCCTTAAAGGACCTGGGAAGAATTGATAAGATTTGAATTAAATGAGGCAGGTATTTTATTTTTTTAATCATTTTATTGGGGGCTTATACAGCTCATATCACAATTCATCCATCCATCCCTGTGTCAAGCACATTTGTACATATGTTGCCATCCTTTTTAAAACGTTTTCGGGAAGAATTGATAAGATTTGAATTAAATGAGGCAGGTATTTTATTTTTTTAATCATTTTATTGGGGGCTTATACAGCTCATATCACAATTCATCCATCCATCCACTGTGTCAAGCACATTTGTACATACGTTGCCATCCTTTTTAAAACGTTTTCTTTCCACTTGAGCCCTTGGTGAACCCTTGATAATTTATAAATTAACATTTTTTTCATGTCTTACACCGACTGCTGTCTCCCTTTACCCAATTTTCTGTTGTCCATCCCCTGGGAGGGGGTTGTATGTTGATCACTGTGATTGGTTCCTCCCCCCACTTCCCCTCCCCTCCTCCTATTGATACTCACAGTATTGGTCCTGAGGGGGTCATTTGTTCTGGATTCCCTGTGTTGTGAGCTCTTAACCTGTACCAGGGTACATGCTCTGGTCTAGCTGGATTTGTAAGGTAGAATTGGGGTCTTGATAGTGGCGGGTGGGTTGGGGCAGAGGAATCATTAAAGAACGAGGGGGAAGTTGTATATTTTGTTGGTGTTATACTGTACCCTGACTGGCTGTGTCTTCCTTGTGACCCTTCTGTAAGAGGATGTCCAATCATCTTCAGTTGGGCTTTGGGAAGGCAGGTATTTTAAAGTAACTGAAAAATCATGTAAGTTATTTCTGTACTGACCATATTTTGATAACATGTGGAATAAGTATTTTTGAAAACAGTCCACATTCTTTAATAATTGGTTCCGCATTTTGGAGAACTTATTAAAGACTTTAAATGTGCAGGCAAGGGCGATACATGACTATTTTTGCTCTGCAATAACATCTAATCAAGAGCTGTTTTAGCAACTGCTTTCCTTTTGAAACTTGCTGAATTAGTTTAAAAGAGGAAAAACAACAAAGCATTAAATCTCTGCCATTTACTTGCCAAGCCTTATGATCACAAAGATTATGAAGCTTCATTACAAAGAGTTTCAAATTAAAATCTTAAGATTTTATTCCACTGTCGTTTCCATTGCTTTCCGTAAAACATGATTTGGAATTTTCTCAATGAACTTTGAGGTGTGGTACTTTTTTCTCACTGTAAGGTAAGAAGGACTATTGATTGGACTTAGCCCTTTTTTTAAAAAAGAAAAAACCTAAACGACTATTAAGAACAGTTCTCTGGGTAACATTATAAATGTAGAATTAGAATGATCAGGTGAGAAGTACTGTATATACTTGAGTATAAACCGACCCGAATATCAGCCGAGGCACTTAATTTTACCACAAAAACTGCATGAAAAATATGCTGAAAATCTCAGCTTATACACAAGTATGTATGGTAATTTATGACAGCTAATATTTTCACAGTGCTTGATTTATTATGCATGTGTAGTTCCTTGAATGGTGACTGCAGTGGAGTGTAGCAAACATTTATTCCTTTTCTGTTTTTAAATTGGTTATATATGAATGTTATACCATCACTCCAACAAGTAGCTCCTTACTTCTTCCCATTATAAATATCAATTCAAATGGATGATGAAATATGTGTTACACTTACATTTCATGCCATGGATTGATAAAGGTCTAAGGTATTTTCTGATAGTGTATTACTAGTGATTATGAAAGAAATAATTGGACAATGAAATACTTAGATACGGCTTTTAGTTTTTCAGTGATTGGAATGACAATTTGCAACTCAACAACAAACACGAAAGATGTATGCATTCTCGTTTTCTTTTTCTTCTTTTAGGAGAATTTTTCCTCTTCTATGAACCACAAAAAGACTACTGGGGTTTTTTAACTCCCATGACTGTGCCTAGAATCCAGGGCTTAGCAGCTATATATAAGAACTCTATCTACTACATAGCTGGGACCTGTGGAAATCACCAACGTGTGTTTACTGTAGAGGTCTATGATATTGAACTAAATAAATGGACTCGCAAGAAGGATATTCCATGCAACCAGTCTATAAATCCATACTTTAAACTGGTACTCTTCCAAAAGAAACTCCACCTGTTTGTTAGAGCTACTCAAGTGACCGTGGAAGAACATGTCTTCAGAACCAGCAGAAAAAATACCCTTTACCTGTATGATGATGTCACTGACGAGTGGATGGAAGTGTATGAGACCCCAGATCGGCTGTGGGACCTTGGCCGGCATTTTGAATGTGCTGTTGCTAAACTCTATCCTCAATGTCTTCAAAAAGTACTTTAATTGGAGGAGGCCTTGGTGAGTTTGCTGGCCCCTCATACATGAGGAAGCTTGTCTTAACAGCGATACAAGATGCAGTCAGTATTTAAGAGAGCCAAGAGAAGAGTTTTGTATATGGCAATGGGTGCTCTTCAAGCTTAGTGTAGGGTGGGGTTTGTTGTTATCCTTGTGATGTTTTCATTTCAGTAAGGCAAAGGTAACAAAGTGCAATTATCAGCTTTTTTTTTTTTTTCAGGTTTAAAAGTAATCCTTTCATCCTAGAATTTTGTGATACACTGAGACTCCAGTCTTGTAAGAGCAGCTAAGGTATTACCAGGTAGAGACACCCCAACTAGTTTTACCTGACTTTTAATTCTAAATACGGGTAAATAATATGAGGCAATATCACTAGGACTTGGTTTTAGCTGTGACCTCTCCAACAAAGGAGCACTAACTCTAATCCTCATTCTTTATATTTGTGTACTTTTTTTAAGTGTCCTAAGATTGAAGTGTGTAGTGGTATTGGAGCAAATTGAAGGAAAAACAGAGCAATTTCAGAAAGTTAGGAGTCTGATTGACATATCTCATGTAATTTTTAAGTTATGCTGTTGTAGGTAGTTAACAGTTTTCTGTCAATGACCTTTTCAAGTGCTAACATTGTCCCTCCTAATGTTTTTCTTTAACCCCCTCAAAGGGCTCAAATTCACAGGTGGCTGGTGCTAGTGTACGGTACTTCATAGGTGTAGCTAGATTGGTTTTCAGTTGTCTGAGCCAGCAGTTTTCTTTGAAGTTGGGATGGTAGTTTCATGGTCCTGGTGCTTGTTGGACAGAACTCGTGTTATTTCACAAGACTTTCTAGTCTTGTGGTCAAGTAGTCAAGTCCTTGATCTACCTGGACGCAGTCTTAAATCGTGAGAAATGATGCTCAGTTTGCACTACCATGGGCCATTTTGTTGCCTGGCCTGCTTTTCCATCCTCTACCTATAAGATACCGTATTCTTCCCCCATACAGAACATAATGTGAAGTTTCACCCTCACTTTTAAAATTCTGTTTTCTGGAAATAGATTCCTGCAGTGGTCTAATTTAATTACTAATATCTTATACGTGACCGTTAAAACCATTTTTGTTTTCATTTTTGCATTTAACAGTGATGGATATTTTGCCGTTGTTCTATCTGAAGATGATTGAAAAGGAAAAATGTATGTGAATCAAACCATAGCATTATAGACTCCAAATAATTTTGCATTTTTAACCGACAAATTTCTAGTTACCAGCTAGGAATATTAACAGGAAGGGCAACCCAACTCATTTGTAAAACCTAAAGCAGATATTGTTGAGGAGTTACTTGGACCACAATCTGAAAGGTTTGTGGTGCGAAACCGCCAGCCACACCAAGGGAGAAAGGCGGGCCTTTTCTACTCCCCTAAAGGTTAGTCTCGGAAACTGACAAGGGCAATTCTGAATGGATGGCAGTGAGTTGTTTTGTTTTGTTCATGCAGAGAATTTGGATTGGTGACAAAAAAAAAACACCCCAAAGTTTAAGAAGATTGATAAGGTATATAAGGGGGCTTCAAAAGTTCATGGGAAAATGGGAATTGAAAGATAATGAAAATTTTCCATGTGCTTTAGGAAGCACCCTTTTGTATGTAAGTATAGCAAAGTCTTTAATGAGATGATTTTTATTCTCTTGAAAGAAAATCAGTATGGTTTGAATTTACAAATCTTGCATGGATTGTAATGTGACACTATGAAACACATTTCAAAACATTGCCTCTTTGCATCACATACCTCATTTTTCAGAAACTTTCCCAACTGCTTGTCATAGACCCACCTCTTTACAAGTAGGGAATGTTTTCTGCAGTTGAATCTAAAGTGGACATCATCTCATGAATTAAAATTTAAAATCTAGTCATAGATCTGTGATTTTGTCTTACTGACTTGAGACTGTCTATAATCTCTTTATAAACTTTTTATCAATTAATTAGTAATTGTCCCCTCTCCTTCCCACTTTTTCTTGATCTTAGCCTTTTGTTCTTATATCCATGCTGTTAGAGAGCTATTTTTCTTGAGTTTCGTTTTTTCTTTTTAGGCATTCTGTACAGTGTTGCTGAGGGAAGGAGGGGAAAAAATAACAGCAAAAATACCCAACTTTTGCAAGAGGTGTTCGTGTGACTTGATTTTGAAAGCCTCGTTGAATATGAGATTTCCTGCCGCTTTTTGACAATCTTCTGTGTTTATTTTTTAAATGTATTACGGTACTTGAAAACATTGCATAGAACATTGAGTTAGCAATTTATAGAGGGGTACAACAGACTGATGAATTCTGCAGTAGATTTCTTCTGGTGATCTGCACAACAGTTGAGCCTTTTATTGTAGTGGTTTCTATTGAGGGAATGATCTAAGTGTAGTGTGTCAAAGCCCAGGGTTAGGATTTGCTATGGGACTAGAATATATCTTGAATTTTGTATGAAGACTAATTTGTTTAAATAGTTGGGACATTTTGCCCATCTCTAAATCATTTCAGAAAAGGAAAATGAATAGTGTGTGGGTTTGTGTGTAGATATTTAAGGTACATTTGCATAATTTGATGAGAACATTGATAAAAGGCACAATCGGTATTATAGGATTAAAAGTCTCACACATGCCAGCCAGTCTCTTTAGCTTTCTTTTGTCTTTTGAAGAATGGATGTAGCACTTTCCTATGTATATTTTTACACGTTGAAACCTGGACTTGGTAGTAACTACATTACAGGAAAGTAGAAATTCTTTATTTTCCATCTTCGTTGTGTGTTAATCTTACAAAATTGATGCGCCAGCATCAAGCGTATTTCATTGGTGCATGAGACTCTTTGGATGTGATCAGCGGGGGGTCAGCGACCCAATGTAAAGCAGTTTTAAATGGCATTCAATGTTCAGTGCTCAGGTATGTAGTTAAGTACTGTAGTCCTATGGGGGCAAATATGTAGATATTTTATACATTTTTGCCATAATTGCACAATTTTTTTGGTTGGCATTTTTACCGTATGTCATTGTTTCTTCTAATAAAACCTTTTCTGATTGAAAACTTGCATTGTTGTAAATAGATTCTGACTGATGAGGTTTGCCAAATTAAAATTTGATAGATCCTGAAATCCCTTAAGGTAGAATGAATTGAGATGCTCTTCTGTTTGCTCTCCGACACGGAATTATAAACTAGTTAATATGGCTGTATACTAAGACTCTCTGACCTCGCTAACTTGTAACGCAAACTTATTTGTATTGATAACTCTTTTGTTACATGTATTTGAATATGTTTTGTGTTTTACAACATATCCAAACACGGTTGCCTCTACCTTCAATGTAGCTCAGATACTGGCCACCTACCACTTCAACTATTCTAGTCTGAGCCAGCCTATCTTGTCTAGACTGTTCAATTGCCATAAATCTTGTCTTCCTTCTACCGGCCTTGACACGCCCCACCCCATAATCAATTCTATTTCTTTACAGTGGTCAGAATGATCCTGATAGCAGCAAAAATCAGATCCTGTCAAAACCCTCAATAATTTCTCATTTCTCTTCACATGAGAGCAAAAAATCTTTGCTTGTATTATCTGCCCTATCAACCCCACCTCTTGGATCGTATTGCCATGCCCCAGCTCACTCTAGCTACACACTCCTAACTCTTCCGAATGGTCCCAGGAACACCTCACCACCCCACCGCCCCCCAATCAGGACCTGTTTTATTGCTATGCCTGCTGTCAGTCAGCCTCAACAACTCCCTTTATTCAAATTAATATCAAGATGTTCTCTTATCAAAGAGGCTTATGTAAAATAGAACATCCTCCCCCCCCACCAGCTTTACTCTCCGTGTGTCTTATTTCATATTTGTATGTGGCTCCTCTTGGAATGAGCCTCATGAAGGCAAGAAATTTAGTTTCTATTACACCTCACAACAATGCCTGACACACAGTGGACTCTTAGTACACGCTGGGAAGAGTGGTGGCTTTTCAGTTAATTCTTAGAGCACGCTGAGCAGTGCTATGAGCAGTACTATAATCTCTTACAAGACACAAAGCACAAAGAGCAGTTGAGTTGCAAAAAGTTCATCTAACTAGTGAAGAGGCTTACCTGGGATATGAATAAAGATTCTTTTAAATGTGTGCGATACAGGGTTCCAGCAACCTGATAGAGATGGTGGATGCTCTTTATAGTGTATTTAATTGCGACCGTTTTTAGGATTCCACCTTCCTTCTAACACTGTTATTTAAAGTATTCAGGTAAATAAAAAATACTGCAGTCCATGCATGCACTGGTTTATTCTAAACACACACGGTAGTACATATCTGTTCAGAGGATGGCTGTAGACACGTTCTAGTGATACAAGGTGGCCTCATAAATTTGGTGGAAATAGGAATTGATACATAATGGAAAATTTCCACAATTTTTTTCATACTTCCTTGTACAACTTTCTTAGTATCATTAGGGTGCCTTGAAAGAAAATACTTTTTGTGCCATGGAAAAAATTTTAAGGTTACTACTAATAAAAGATTTTGTGGACATCTTTCCAAATCATTGAAGCATTGCAACAAGTTACAGGAATGCTGTCCCACACAAAAAAATAAAAACAGTATTTAGATGGATCCAGCATTTAAGGGAAGGTTGGCCCAGTCATGAGCCAGCCAAAGAAAGCTAATCAACCTCAGTGAATGAAGTAACTTTCTGAAATTTGTTTCCAAATTTAAACATGTATGAGGTTAGTAAATATTGCTACAAAAATCATAAACAGTTCTGTTCAACAGTAACGTCAGAATGTGAAGTTATTGTTCCTCGACCTAACCACCTATTTCCGTGTACTCCTGAAGGTGGTGGGACCCTCTAACCATTCCCTGTTTTCTTGTGTTCTTTGATTTGCCCCAACTAAAAATGGCAGCTTCCGAATCCCTGAGTCTTGTTCCCTTTCAGTGGTCTTTGAGGAACAAAAAAAATCTAAAGACAAGACAGGACTGAAGGGTGTTTGGGGTCAGGTTTCCCAGTGACCATTTGGGAGGATGACCCTTGCTGCCCTTGAATGAGCAGAGGCAGTGCCACGATGGAGAGGATCCACGCCTCAACGCTGCTGACCTCTCCCTCACCAATGCAGTGTGCAGTCTTTGAAAACTTCTTCCTAATTTGTCCTCATGCTCATTCTGTGTCTGTTGAGAAAAATGTATCAAGATGACCTCTTTGGGATCCCAGAAAGCAATCATCAAAACCTGAGTTGACCTCCACCTTGAATTTAACTGGCCGAGTAAGGTCTCTCCGAAGTCACTGCTTCCATTAGACCTTTTTCCCTGTTGGCACCCTAATGAGATGAGGACAAGTGTATTACTGAGCAAATTTTGTCTGCAGCCATCCACTGATCTGTATGGCATAAGCCCATGTGTCTATGAGCTGGAACTCTAGTTAATCCTTTCTGGCTTATCTTGGTTTACCTGTACATCTTATTGGAAAGTTAAATACACGTGATCTAGGATCTCACTCTTTTCTGAATTGAATTATGCACCCCTAAAATATGTGTCCCGAGTCTTAATCTCTGTGCCTGTGGTTATAATCTCATCTGGAAATGGGTTGTTTGTGTCATGCTAGTGAGACAATGGTAGGGTGAGTGGGTTCTTAAATCAATCTCTTTTAAGATCTGAGAGGTTAAGTTAGCAAGTGAGGGAAGAGAGATGCTAAGTCACTGACCATCACCAAAGGAAAGGCAGGAGAGACAAGGAGCTACCTCCGGACAGGCAGGCAGCCTTCCTTCCTCTCAGCTGCTACCCTGCTGGGCTTGCAGCCCCCTCAACTGTCAGAAGGTAAAGCCATCATTGGAGGTAGTTCTGTTACAGCAATACCTTTGCTGTAGATCACAAAGACAAATTTTTCATGCTATAAATAGAACCTGCTAGTTGGAGAAGTGAAACTTGGAATTTTGCCCTGCCTCATTTCAATGCTTCTAGGATAAATGAAAGCCCCTTGACTTGGAACTTGGCTAGAAATTGGAAGTGATTTCCCCTAGTAAACATGAAGAAGTAGTAACACTACAAGTGCTAGTAATACTGAATTGTACCTCTTGTTATTTTTTACTACCCACGTTGTCTACAGAGTGGTGGAAAAGAAAAATCCCAGAACCGAACAAGTTGAGTGTTTGGTTTACAACCTGCAATGTTTTCCTCTGTTTGTAACCTTTTATAGCCCATGTGTTTGGACGGTGAGGCTTTTTAGTCACCAAGTAAACAATTGCTATATTATAAGCCACAAAGTCAATCTATGAAGGGATAATATATTTCATGACTGTCAAAGAAGGACCATCAAAGAAGACTCAGGTAATCATCAGCCCAACAAGTACTTCCCCTTTTGAAGGATATATATATATACAAATAATGTGCAATAAAATCAGGTAACCATCAGCCCAACAAGTACTTCCCCTTTTGAAGGCCATATATATATACAAATGGGCAGTAA